TTTAATATAAGAAAAAAGGGGCGGGTAGAGAAACTCGCGACGGGCCGCCAATAAAGTTTTTATAGGGGGGGAAAACCGGGGCCCCCCCCCCCCCCCCTTGTCTATAGTTGTGACAAAGAAACGTCGAGCATTTTCTCATTCTGGTTTACTCCGTTTTTTTCTTTCCGTGATCTGCAAATTCATATGAACGTTTTTTGGGGTAACTTTTTAATATTAACGCAAAATGTAAAGTAGCCCGACTCGATTGACGATACAGTCAAAGAAAATATTATTGGGACTTGTCATATTAATATGTATTAGTATTAGAAGAAAGCTTAAAAATTTGTAGATCCATGATCATCCTTGTGTATGTGGGCCCAACTTGACACCTTACATACACACCCCTCGGAAATTTATTGACGGTCAATCATTCGGGCTAGATTCTGGAAATTGCGTCAGACTAACGCGTAAAAAGATCTTGGAAAGCAACAAATTATGTGTCTTTTGTTCTGGATCATCAATCGAAAACATGAATGGGTGTAGATGCGTACGCACAACTAATCTTTGGTGGCTTCTAATGTGGTTTATTTTTAGTGCCCAAAAAAGTAAACGTTTTCTAAAGGAGAACACGAGAGGGACATGGTTTGATTGCCCCCTTTGCTTATTACATTTACAAGAGATCCCCACAGCCCAACGTTTCGTATTTTTGACTCCTGAAATATTTTAGTGTTCACTTTTATCTTTGTTACAGATACATAATCCGATGAGGTAGAAATTATGACGTAAACACCAGTTGTTGTTGTTTTTTTAAAGTACAAACCAAAAAGCGAAAGAATAGATTTACAGAATGAAAAAATACCGTGGAGAATCCAAATAAATGATTAATGAAGTAAATATTTTAACTAGTTCATTAATATGTAAAAGAGAAGAAGAAAAAAAAAAGTAATATAACATCAAGCGAAAAAGAAAAAAAATTTCCAAAAAACACAAAACACACTTAATTCACGACAAGGGAAAACATTTAGAAGATATTTTTCCTAAAAACTCGGAACACCCACGGCCGATAATGCCCCGGATCCAGTAGACACATCAGAAGTGCTACGATAATGCCCCGTCGTATCTGAAGAACTCAACTGACTACCTATAGAATTATTACCACTTAAACTTCCTTCAACCCCAAAGTCACTGGCTCCCCAGACCTTTTTCGCTACACTCGATTGTCCCATAAAAGTTTCATGCAACGAAGACCGATGGTTGCCTACTACTGGCTGAACCTCGAATGAATTGATAATTCTCTGTGCAGAAGATCGTCCAAACGATCCAGACAATCCAATATTATTTAAATTCACCGGCGGTGGGGGCAGAGGTAGCGTCGGTGGTGGCGTTGGCGGCGGCACAATCCCATCATTAAGAGTCACTATTGCAGTTAGAGAATTTGACGATGACATGTTCCGTATGGATGTCTGCTGTGATTGTCCAGCAAATGTACTCGGGAGAGGTGATGTCGGTCGAGATGTCGGAGGTGATGTTGCACGAAGTATTGGTGACTGTACCCTTGGCGGCGGTGACAACGATGTATTTGTTGATTGTGTTAACGTAGATAACGATGACGGAGAGCGGGTGTGTCCCTCTGGTGTATATTGTAGTGGCTGCGAATGCGAATGAATTGCTATTTGTGGACGCTGTTTAGATGTAGGGCAATCTCCGTCATGAGATGATACTGTAGAACTTTGTCGATATAGCCGACCGTTATTTGTTGCTTTTCGTTGAAGTTCACGGTTTTGTATGGATGCTGGATGCTCGTTCAACCATTCGGTTGACGGCTTCTGATCCACCCATTTGTGATTGTTATATTCATCACCATGTAATGTTCGTGAATCTGTTTCGTGACCATTATGAGGTAACCTCGTTATAGCTTGTGGAGGAGGAGGTAGGGTGCTTACGAAATCAACACTCGTCGGACTGGACGATGAGCTCCCGGCTTTTTCAACGGCCGTAGAACTGCCACTACTCCTGCTGCCACTCTTTGACCTTGTAGCAGTATTATGGTATCTTTCGCTATGCATTGACATTTCCACGTTGTTTAT